CTACCCAATCACGAACTACCAATCAGAAGATCGGAACCAGCCCAGAACCGGACCTACTCCAGAGTTTTACTTTACTTCACAATAAATCTTTTAACCCTCTCAGTGGTTGTTGTTGTTGTTTGCGATCCGGCCTCTGGTTCATGACACCTTCTGCTTTGACTAATAAGGATCGTCCTAACAGAGAGAGATCTCTCTGGAGCCACAGATTCAATCTTTGCTCAACTATTTGAATTATGGGGTTAATATTTTCTGTTGGTCTTACATTTTGATCTTTAATGATCATGACTATTTAACTTTGTCTTCTATATGTATGTTGAGGAAGGTTCCTTTTAAAGAAGATTTAACAGAAAGTAATTCACATTTGTTTAGATTTAGAGTCAAACCAGAGGCCTTGGAAAAGGTCTTGATGATTTCAGTTGTTTTTTATTTCACATTTATTCTTTAAAATTAGTGCTGTGTCATCAGCAAGCTGGGAAATTACAATACTTCTGTTTGCATCATTAATTCCTGTAATTTGTTTCTGTAATTTTAACAGAGAGAATTTGCATGGCCAGAAGAAACAAGTATGGGGAGACAGGACACCCCCCCCCCCCCCCCCCGTCTGAGACCCCTTCTCAAATAAAACCTATAGGAGCAGCCGTGTGACAATTTATAGATGCATTACAGTTCTTATTTAACATGTGACAGCTTTTAATAAAGACTTGTCCATATCCGAATACTTCTAATGCTTTAAACAGAAATGCATGTTCAACAGTGTCAAAGGCTTTAAAAAATCCAGAAACAATATGAAACCATCCCCCTCTATTAAATCTAAGTCATCTAGCAGGTCCAGTCTGGTGTTATGAGTTATACGTCTACCTGCTATGAATCCAGACTGACTTTCATCAACCTCTTCTTCCAGACACTTGAATTTTTTTTAGAAAAACAACCTGCAGTAATGTTAGAGTCATTTTGGAGTAATGTGACTGGTCACCAGTTGTCCAGAAGAAGCTTGTCTTTTTGTGGTTTAGGGATCAGTTTAGGGATCAGTTTAGGGATCAGTTTATGGATCAGTTTA